CGGAGTGGTCTGCTTTGCTGTATGTTTGTCCCGATAGGTTAGAAAAGAAAAATTCAGTGCCCACATCCCAAACTCCCCTCCCTTGCCAACTGCTGTGCGCTGCACTCTGTAACAGGGAGCGCTATCTCTGCCCATCAGTAGCGGCTGTGTTTCAGCTGTGCTGTGGTGTAGGATGAACTTAAGTATGCGTGTTGATAAACTGTATTAACTGACAGCTTGGATGGCTTTGCCTGTGTGGCCTGCTAATACATCATCCTTGTGATTTAGCATAACTTCCCAGCCTTTGCATAAGTGTCCCTTTCAAACTGCTTCTTTATTTGCTGCAGTATTAGTCTATCTCAGAGCTGACCATATGCTAATCCAGCTCTGAATCTATGACATACTAGAAATGCCTAGATATCTTGCAAACCCTCTGGCCTACTAGTAGCTGACTTACGGAGGAAAATGGAGACTATGCACTTCGGCAGTGATAAAACTTTTGTTTCTATCTGTGACAGGCATATGAAATTGGAAATCAAAACTTTTGTGTTGTTATATGTCTGAATCCAATTTTGGATCTCAAACTCTCTAGCTTTCAGATGATAATGCAACTTGTCTTTGAGAAACATATGTCTAGCGGAGTAGTTCCTGCCCGCTCTTTAGTTTGAATCTCTTGCTCTCTATGAGATTGGTATTGCTATCCTTTTCTCCATATGATTTAGAACATGGGAACTGTAAGACCAAAATAGACCATGATCCAACTAGTCAGGCCTGCATTTCCCTCCGGTGCCGGAAAAGATGAACTTTGCAATTCTTTCTTGCTCTCATGCAAGAACAAACAAATGCCGCCTTTATTCCCAAATTCAGTTTTTAGCTCTGATCATTGCTGTATATTTCAGAGGAGTCCAAAGAAAATTTTAATATCTGGCTAATTGTGTGATACTATTCTCTAGGTGATAAGTAAGTGTGCTATTGGCCACTTGCAGCTGATCAGCTCCAAGGACTTTGGGGGTTTTTCTTTTTCTTTTAAACTAATTGCACTTATCTTCATTCATAGAATTATTATAATCCTTCATTAAAGCCTTACTAAGCTGTTTGGTTTAACATGCTGCAGCAGTTAGTTACACAAGATAATTATATGGTTCTAAAGTATTATTTTATTACTCTAGAAATTGCAGCATTGTTCTTCTACTAGTCAGAGTGTCCTTAAGAGTGCTTAGAGCGTGCATCTCCTTTTGTCCAGTTCACAAAGACCTGATTTTTATCTGTATCCTGAAGAGGACCGTATCTCCCACATGCCTCTGAAAATCTCTTCCTTAACACCCCTAGAAATGAGGTATTTGAGGAGGTTTCTAAGGAATGTAGGATTCAGGTTGGAAATCTCTGTGCTTTTTAAAAATTGCTTTTTCAGTCTCTTAAATAATTTCACTGGCCTAGATTATTAAGAACTTACATATATATGTCCCATCTTTCATGAACGTGTCTGCTAAACGTGCTAAATTGAGCTTGCTGTTTTTTACCCTGGATAGGCTTTCCATGAAAGACTTTTCTTTCCTGCTCCAGTTTCTTCAGTGGGTATTGGAAGTACTGCGGCAGCTACAAATGGCAGGTGCTATCTTCATGTTGTCTTTAGCTAGAGCTTTGTTTTCCCCATTCATTTATCTGCTTAGCTCTAGCCTTCCTCCCTGAAGATGCCTGCGATCAGCCGTATAGCATGTATGCAGTTTGTGCAATCTTGCCTTTTTCTTGCTAACTTTTTCCCTTTGCTTTGGAGAGACGTGCAGAAGACCAGGTGATGGATCTTCTTTGTCAGCCAGAATTGTGCTCTGTCAGAAAACCCTGCGCTAACTTGGTCTCGCTGCTTGGTTTTGTTATTACAAAGGAGATTCTTAGTCACGGAGCAAAAATTAGTCTTGATAATGAGTCAGCTGACCGTGGTGATTCACAGCCGTGCTTTCGTTCTGTGAGTTCAGTGCTCCTGGAGCCTGACCCTTGGCTGGGCTCTAGGGTATTTCTGTCCCTGTCCGCACAGACACCTCCCTGTTAATCTGTTGCTCCTGAGAGTTCAGTATGGCGCGAGGACGTGGAAAATGTGCTGACTTCGGAGATGTCTCTCCTAACCGGTTCTGCCTCCCCGCGCCCAGCTCTACGCCAGGTGGCAGGTGTGCTCCTGCGTTACCAGGCCGAGTTCAAAGGTCCTGTTTGCTGTACGCGGGGGGAGGTCTGGGCAAGCCAAATATTTAGCGTGCAGTCTGATAACCTATCAGTTATTTCCTCCTATAAACTGGGTTGGGGAATGAAAAAGCACTTGGTTGTTGCAATATTAACGCTTCTGCGGAAGTTTTGCAACATCTCGGCTTTAGCTGCAGCAAATGTGACAACGCCAGCAGGGTGGCCTCGTGATCAGAGCACTGGTGCAGTCATAACTATTCCTACGCTCTATTCTTGATATTGCATTGTGTTGGGTAAATCAGCAACCAACTTTGCATCTCAGTTTTCCGTCCGTCAAAATGTCCTTTTTAAAAAAAAAAAAAAAAAAGATAAAATTCTCACACCTAAAGGAAGTAAAAAATGAGCCATAAGAAGTAGGGCTCTAGCAGTTCAGAAGAAAACTTGAATATCCCATGAACTCACTGATAATTTGCAAAGGAGTTAGGATTGCAGGACAAAAGCAGATTTGGGATTAGCTTGATCAGGGACAGTGATTATAAGCCAAGAGACAAGGTTCTTTGCTTGCTTCAATTCTGGAGACTGATATTGCGAGGGAAGGAAGAAGAGGAGAAAGATAGAGAGAGCTGTTTATCTGCTAGATAAGTCATGATTGTTACAGTGTATATTTAATCCCAAAGGTTAGATAATCCTTTCCTATTTTAATCCTCCCTTCTGTTCAGAAATTATTTCACCAGGGGCTAGTAACTGTCTTTGAAGCCCTGTCAGTGCTGTGCAAAAAAGGTTTTATACACAAACCACCGTCGCTTATTGGCACTGGCCGTGAGTATCACCAGAAGTTTTACAGGCGCTGGCCATGCTGTTCAGTGGCAGTGCTGGGGGAAAAGATTTTTGCTCAGCCTAGGTGAACTGCCAAGATCTTAATCGATCTTTTGCCTTTGCGAACTGGAAGCATGAGCGTCAGAGTTTATGTAGATAGTCCTTTGAGTTCTGTCCCAGGATAGGTTCCTTTATGAAGGAAAATAACCGTAGAAGTCAGTGCTCCCAAGAGCAGGGGCTTAGACACATGGTGTAGAGGTGCGAGGGACTGTCAGATGCCTGGATGCAGGAGTGCGTTGGAGATGCTTCCGTAGCAAGGAAGCCGTAGCAGTGACACTGTCTTCTTCTGTGCTCCTTGGCTCATCCCTTCCCTGTGTTGCTTACGGTTCGTTATCCTTTTTTTTGTCTCGCACTTGATGCTAGCTCTGGTTCTGGGTATTAGCAGTAGCTCCCTGAGGGTCTAGAGGTGTTAACAGTGTTGTGTCGGTGCTGGTAGCTCCCCGTGCTTCATGTCAGCACTGCTAGTGGTGTTCAGCTGTGCCGTGGGGGCAGCCTGCTGGGCTTTCCTGCAAGGGAGGGAGGGTGTCAGCTCAACAGTGCCTCTCCAGATGGCAGGTGCGCTGTTATGCCTGCTTAGCTGTAAAGCGTGGGCACCCCAAATGGAAAATCATGCTAGCAACCTAGAGACCACGAGGAACCTCTGGTGTTGCTGAGGCCGAGCTCTGTCACAGGCGGCCACAGAGGCAATGTATTGCTTCACCACTAGACGTCACGTGCTCAGGCAGGAAGAAGGCTGCTTTGATCAAGATGGAGGGTTGCAATGAGAGGCCTGTTGTCTTCTCGAGCCGCGTTGCTGCAAGTGAGGGTGGCCGCTGCGTTTCCCGTTCTGCTCTTAAGAATGTCTGGTTATAGGCCTTTTGGAGTCAAGGAGAACCTCTTGAATGTTTTCCAGGCTCTGGCAGTTCTCAGACCTCAATGCAGCGAGCTTCCCAAGAGGATTGGAGGCTCGGAGTTTTCTCCAATTAAAAAACATTAACGTCACCAAAATAACCGGCTAAGCATTGTAGTGTTTCCAGCAAAGAGATGAGGAACCAGGCAGATTTTTCATTCTGATGAGTCACTGGCTCTCTTCTGATTTGTTTCTTGTAAGTGCTGTTTAGACAGCTGCTGATGCAGGAATATGGTTCTGAGTGATGGTCGCTGGGGAGCAGGATGAGGTTGTGTGCTATTTCACCTCTGAACTGGTGAAGAGCTCGTCTGCCTAGCTCTTCATCCGTAAAGGCTTGCTTGCAACAGTGGTTCTTGCCTGCCTTCATCCTGCCTCTTCAAGATAGCTGGGGAGCTGGTGGCGGAAGGGGCAGGGAGAAATAAAATGTCTAAATATTTCCTATAGTCCCAAAGGCATAAATCAAAACTAAGAGGATCCGGTGCATTTCATTCCTGGATCTTCTGTTAACCATATCACAGTTGAAGGTTTTGCCTCTGCCCTGAAGGAAGAGTGACCCAAGACCTGTCTATAGCCATGTTCTTTCCATCTGCACGGTCAGGACCACTGTTTTGTAGCTGATTCCCGAATCTTTCTCGAGCGTTTTTGTGATGTCCACATCTGCCTGAGAGAGGAGAACTTGAAAGCTAGGCTGTTTTTGTTTTGGGGATGTTGAGGAGGCAGGCACTACAAATGTGTGGCACTGTTACTCCCAGTTCACATACAACTTCCCTCCAAACAATGTGGAATCAAACTAATGGACTACAGTGTCTCGGTAGGAAAAGTTTTTAATCTACCTTTATTCACTTCTTGCACTTGCGACTGTATATAAAATAAAAGATGCTGATGTGTGGCTACATAGGGACCTACAAAGAGCGAAGGAAGAGCCTGGTAGGCTCCCAGCTTGCTCTACTGGCTTCTTTACGAGAACTTATTATGACTTGGATGCACATAAGAGTCTGATCTACTGGAGTAAAAAGTCATGGATGCGCTTTTTTTTTTTTTTTTAAACACAATCATTTTTCACCACAGAATCATGCCTTAATTTAAAATAACAATTGAAAACTATAAAGAGGCTTTTCCCTGCGTCTCCTTCTCCAAAAGGAGGACTGTTGTCTCATTCAAGGCAAAAAATGCAAGCTTAGAGTCAAACTGATCTGTAGTCTGACTACTTTGACTTGATCTAGGGAGCTTTGGCTATCTAAAAAAAAAAAAAAAAA